TTAGCAAAGACCCCCTCTTAAGGTATCTGTTCACACTTAGTAAAATTATGACACTGGTTATATAACCATATTGATCATGTTGAGCATAATTGTTTATTATTCAATAATTGTAATATCTATTTTAATATAAAAAATACAGATTTTATGAATATTGTTTTCCTCTCTTTTTTTTGTGTTTTATGTGCTATTTCAATACTGAATTTTTACGTTTACTACTCTTTTTTTATTCAAATTGTAAAATAAATTTTTAGAATTCAATTGTCATATTGACCGACGATTATAAGTCAAAATTGAACTGGAAAAAGTCAGTAAATTATGGTTAATCTTTCAATATATAATATTGTTTATTCTTAAACCATGTACATGTACATTTGTATTTTTCTTTATCATTTTTTAAATTATCAATCAAAGGAATAATTCATAAAATCTAATTTGTAACTTCGGCTTCTTTACAAAACACGAATAACAAATTAAATAAAATGTTTCAAAGTTGATAGTGTCATTTTAATACCATAAAGTACCTTTTTTCTCAATTATTGTACATATTTATTGTTTTTATCTCATAAAGATAAAATGAAACATGCTATTGTTGTTGTTGGTGGTTTTTTTTCGAATTGTATGTTTATGTATAATAATAATCAATAAATTTGAGAGTTGATCTATGTTTATTAATCATTGTAACCAAACTAAGTGACAAGCATTCATTTTGGAAAAAAAAGCTTATTTATCTGTAAAATATTTGTTCTGTTCTGTAACGATATCAAACATCTACTCCAAAACCGGGAGAGACCGGACAATAAACGTGTGATACTATTCGCCGGTCACTAGTAAATCCCGGGAGAGACCGGAAATTACCGATAGGTGTACATCCCTCTATAAATAGATTTTCGGAATGTTTAGGTCATCAACTCATCATTCTATTTTAACATACCATAATAACCCACTGTGTACTACAAAATGGTAAATAAAAACCCGAAGAGACGGAAAAGGTTATTTCATTTAAAAATGTTTGCATTGCGAAATTCTCCAGTTCGCTATTCATTGTACATATCGCGACATTTCATTTTTAATTAATAATACTCAAGCACCCTCATACCGATCGGAATGATCGGCTTTTATTATGACCGACTAAAAGGCTCGAGAAGTTGCTGTCGCCCTTTCACAAAATCTGATTTCATTCCATAAGGGGCGCCGCGCTTCAGCGCGGACGCCAATAAATGATATGAACCAATCATTAATCTTTTAGCGATACTGTCATTGAAAGCTAAATAGGTGTAGATACAGAATAATACAATTTTAGTTGAGTTCAATAATGTATGACTCAAGCATTGTGGTTCGTCCGGGACAGGCACCCTAGCGTTCAGCGTTACTAACGTCACGACACGAGCGATGTTGCGTTCATGATATACAAACAAACAAACAAACAAAAAAAGTATTTAAAAAAAAATCTTGAATCTTAACTTTTCCCCCGAAGTGTTTACTTCAGAGTCACGTGGTGTTTCTGGGCGTACCATTGAAGCAACCTTCTTAAACGTTTGAAATTAAATAAAATTACAAAATTAAAATCATACATAGATATAAATCATTTCTGGACAAACTCTTCATAATTTCACAAAGCAAGTAGATATGGTCGAACTCGAAATGTACGAAAGACATGATTTCATTCATAAAAAGTCAAAATATCTATATTAAAGTTTATTTTAAAAAATGTCTGAATAAAAAAATGGATGTACAGTACTAAAACAAACAGCAATATCATGTAAATATTATACAATATTATTGCGTACAAATAATATTAAAAAGCGGAGACAGGAGGCAATTTAAACCTTTGTGTTAAACATTGGCTTATAAAATATAGTGTATTCACTAGAATAATTTTAGAATATTAAAGGGGCAATATTGATATATTTTGTACATGAAATGGTAGGGTTTTTTGTGTAACTGTCTATTTGACTTTTTTAGGATTTGAACCCCATTGGAATGAGCCCCTTTAATATTTACCCTCTTTTTTTAATATGAGGTTTTCCGACATGATGGGACTACTGGAAATATATGTTTTTTTTCAAATTTTCATACCGTCATATAAAAGTATGTACAAATAAATTGTGTGCAAGTTTACTTTATTTAGTATCTTAAATGAAAGCAATTCAAATGGTAAGTTCAAAACATCTGAATTAAATAGGTTTTAGAATAAGGTTTGCAGGCCTGCTGCATCTAGGTTTCGTTGTAATTTCTTTTAAAGTTCAGATGGCTTGATTATGTTTAATTTCCACGATGTAAATAATATTTTAAAGAAATCGAATTGTACAAATGCAAGTACTAGTTTATTTGAATTTATCAGATAATTAAATAACTGATTTCAGGTCGTTTTCATTATTATTCTGTTGTTTCAATGAAAAATCAACCAAGTATGATAACAAATATTAGATGTGATTTTTTCAAGTTAGCAAAACGGGTGACGTCCTAAATAGACAACATATTGAGTATTTTAAAGTAAAAGCGAGACAAAAAGCACTTAAGTCTATGAATCATTTGGCATTGGAAATGATTGATGAAATGAAATGCTTTTGTTGCGAAAAATAATACATATATTTTCTATTCATAATTTTCTTTGTTAGTTGTAAATGGAAAAATGTGATATCACTCAATATCACTTTGATAAATTAAAATAGCCCTTATAGTATAATGATATTGATTTGGTATTTAAACTGATGTTTCAAAATCAAACGAGTGAAATATGTCAATATTGTCCTCTCTTTAACAAGATATTTTTATAATCATACACTTCTGTTTCATTTGTTGATATTGACTTGTTTTCAGATGTGAGCTAACCATGACAAAACAATTTCATAGGTTGGTTCGAAAACCAAATAAAGCATGAATGAATGAATGAATGAATGAATGAATGAATGAATGAATGAATGAATGAACGAATGAACGAATGAACGAACGACTGAACGAACGAACGAAAAATATAAATTATCAAATAAATGAATAAATAAATTAATTAATAAATAAATAAGTGACCCAATGAACGAACAAATAAATAAAAAACAAATAATTAATAAACAAATGAATAAAGAATACACGCCGTGTCTATATCAGATATTGTATAAATAAAGGGAATGAATCATTATACATATGGCGATATACCAGACATTGAATAAATATAGAGAACCATGTATTCATTCGGCGACCGTTTTTCATTAACTATTGTCATTAAAGGTTAGACAGGTGCAGAATGATACCAGTTCTAGGTAAATCAAATGGATGAAATTAATGCCTCGGATAACATTATTGAACATCGTGATGCAATAATAGGTTTCCTGTCATTCATTAATGCTTCAAACGCTCTCTTTATATTGGGCTATATGAAGCCTTCAAGAGATTGAGAAAAAAATGCATTAATTTATCTTTTAACCAAACGAACGTGTCGAGAAAAGGGCCCGTTTAGGATTTGCCTTAAGTGCCTTAAGTGCCCATGTTGCCAGTCGGCATAAATTTGTAATGAGTTCGTGTGACTCAAACGTGAGGAAAGAAAGCTGAAACAAGATATATTCAAACAAAATATATTTATTAAACAACTAAACACATCAATGCTCATATGGCAACTGCCAAACAGACAAACAAATAGTTATCAAAACAATCAAATAGAATAGTTACCAAACTGATAAATGTAATAAATGTAACAATGCATTTTGCTACTGATTTAAATATTTATTTCTGAAAGTTATACTTACTAACCTGAAACAAGGTTTATTCAATATATATACTTAGTGAACAACGTAAACGTTAATGGTCAATTTACAACTGCATCGATGCATACATTTGTCGCCAGACCATCGGCTATTCAGTTACGGGTGATAGGTTAGTATGATCGCATTGTAAGTAAAAATTTAATAGGAAAAGTATAAAGGATAACTGGAATTGAGATTATGGAGTAACCTGGATTGTTATTAATGAAATGGACTGTCTCGGATATTAGAACGGCACATCATACAATTTAAATGGTAAAACACGGCATCAAGGCGTTCGATGTTGGACTCTATATCGTTATAAAACATTATGATATTGTCAAGATAAATAAGACAATCCTCATGGTTGAGGCTCCATCCATCTTTAAAATGGTGCGGGAGCAATTAGCGTCAGAATATGAGGGTGCATCACTGGAGGTTGCACTAGTAAACACTAGAAAACCTTTATCAGTGTTACATGCAGACAGACGGCCAACACATAAACGCTTACAATTAGTAAGTTTTGAGAGATTAATAGCAAAAATTATTCATGAAAACAACACACATTTCATATTTCTGATAAGTTTATTGTCAAAACAGTCTGATTGGGTTGTACAAGAAAGCTGCATAAACCTCTATGTTTAATTTCAATCCAATCTTCAATTCAATATTAATTACCTTTATTTTTTTTTCTTCAAAATTTCATTCAAATCAGTTTGGAAACATACGCTGGTTATCATGAGATATTTCACGAACGAGTCACATTTAACACATCTGAAAATGTGTCTCAATTCAAAATATCAACATTTCATGCTTTAATGTTGAATTCTGCGACAGTTCGTGCAAGATGGCGTGAAGATATACGTTATAGATTTAACACAACCGTTCATGAAAAGGCTCAATGAAACCGAGTTTGCAACATTTTCCATTTTGACCTTATGGGAGTTCTTATCATTCTTTTCTATTTTTTTATGTATGATACACTTAAATGCCTTTATTTATTTATGCAATTCACAAGAAGTTTCAACTAAACTGAAGATTGTCATCAAGTTCCCATGTAAACATTGTTTTCAATTGCAAGAATAAACACTAGAAATTAACTATATGATATTCAAGACATTATAAATGTGAAATTATATCTGCTCCAAAAATCGTGTATATTTATTTCTATACAAAAGGCTCATTGTGGCTGAGGAGTTGTCTTTAAGGGATGAAACATCAGAATTGCGGTACCTGCGTCGAAAGATGCGTTTAAATCGGTTCAAATTACTGGAGTCTATAAATTTCTTAGGTGAGGTGGTTTTGCCCCCTGCTAAGAATGATGTATACATATTTGTATCCGACCGTGATACCCGTTTTTGTTTGTTGCTCAACATTAAAAATGACATCAAAGTGCAATGTTAAATCATCGCTTATTTACAACTTACAAATATTGCAACGTATAATCTGAAATATTCAAGACAAACATCGCCAATTTCTGATGCTGCATTGTGTATTGGGTATGAATAAAGTATGTTGGGAGTCAAATGATTGCCCAAGTATAAAATTATTCTTTACTCTGTATCAAGCCAATGCCTCCATCTCGCAAATCATTCTTAGCTCAATGCTACATGAGAGATCTACCCATTTCAAGTCTGAAGGGAAATAGAAAGCCACACAGTTTTCTCTCGTTTCTCCATTTGGCTCACTAATTCCCCAATCCTGGAATATCATTTGGTCATTGGTTCCGTGTTTTGCCCATGCATCCTCAGTTTCATTGTCTGTAAAGCCAATAAAGAAAGCTCGCACGTCATCTAAAAGGTTCAGAGAATGAGAAGGATAAAATACAACTATAACTGACAATTACACAAATATCATACAACTTATATTTAAATGCACTACCTATTAGCTGTAATTACCTAAAGTAAAGTTCACGCAATTGAAATGAAAAAAAGAAAATATTTTAATTGCAAACTTCATTTTGTCTAATTTGATATTGTTAAGATTGGGTAAATATAATACTTCTTAAAATACGAAACAAGGGCCATTTTGCGATCTTAATTAAGCCTTAAAACAAAATTTCTGAAACAATTGTTTTGAAAGGCATCAATCACAGACAAAAATGAAACAAAGATACATTTGCAGCTGAACATACCTGTATAAGTATATTTTGAGTTAATTAACGCTTTCAGATAATTGTTCTCTTCTTCACTGTCCACTGTAACAGGGTAAGCATTTAATGCTTGACACGTTTCCTTTAATTTGAGAAAGAAAATAATATGGTTTACTTTTAAAACTATCATCACTAAAGCTATACAATATTAATGTTTATGAAATTTTAGAAAATTTAAAGGGATTGAAAATGAATATATAGGCTTGTACAACTCAACAAACTTACTAACATAAACCGACAGCCGTACCAGTTTGACAAGTCAACATGCCGAGTTTTGTATTATGCCCCTTACTTTATATGTAAACATATTTTGTTACATGTATTAATCTTCACATGGATTTAAAACAATAATTTGTTATGAAAATTATTTGAATTTTGTGTCTTAATTGTTTTTTTAATTATTACCGGAAAATTGCTTGTCAGTTACCATGTTGTTTTTCCATTCGTGTCCCTTTACCTTTTGGTATGGACAAAGTCCCTTTACCTTTAGGTATGGACAAAGGCAAATGTAATTAAATGTCACATTGTGTTCCAATTAACATGTTTGCTGTTTCGATTTAGAAAAGTGGGTAAGATATATTCAATTTTAATGTATATGAAACAATTTGTTCCACCAGAAAGTGTTCATTTGGATATAAATCCAGCTTTACATGTATGACATAGAAAGAACAACCAACAGAATATGAAATAGGCAAACAGATGCAATTTATAAGATTTTTGTCACAACATTTGATTATTTATTATTTCAAAACTCGAATGTAACTAAAAAGATATGCTTACCAAGCCTTGACTAGCGTTCATATTTTGTTCTGTAATGTAGTAACATGAATTTGCTAAGTTATTCCAACCTTCTGTACAGCCTGTGTCGATTGAAATATAAAATATATTTAAATATCTTTGTGATATACTGATATTGAGATGTAGTGGGACATGATTCTACTCAAATCATATTTTGTAAAACTACTTTATTGGCCTGAAGTTATCAACTACTTAAGAAGACAGCAAGGCGATATAAACGTCACAACAGAGGTCAAAGTGATTTACAGTCTAGATCCTGGCGAAACAACTTTCTACGAGTGTATATCGTAATTTACGTTCTGCATTCGTTAAAAAAATTTTTTACAGTGATTATAAGTACCTTTATTTTTTTTTGTACTTCATTGTAATGTTGTCTAAATATTGTTTGACATATCATAGCTACACATGTACTTTAGATATAAGACACATATACCATTTTCTGCATCTGATATTTCGTAATAGAATCCTAAAGTAATTCTAAAAAAATAGGTCTCTCATTTGAAATTTATAACAAGCCATTGTGTTAAATGTGTTAAATTTAAAAAAAGAAACAATATATTTATTTATCTTTACTTTTTTATGTTTTCTTTGAAATGTAACTTTTTTTTAAAATAAGTCACATGTTACACTTAGTTTATACAAATTTATTTTAGTTCGAATGTGTTGGAAGCTTTAAGCTCATTGAAACACTCTCGAGTCCGATCCTGGAACCAACCAGTTCTAAGCAATGATTGTAAAAGTTCTTGCTCAAGGAAACAACGGCTTGCCCCTGACACGGTTTGAACCCACGCGGTCAGCAAACCTTAGATTACTAGTCTGACGCGTTAATCACTCGACCACGCCGCCACTTGCTATGATACATTTGAATTAACATAAAGGATAACACCCATTGGCCTATGAGAAATTAACATTTCAAAAATAGTGAGCAGTAATAATATGTGTTAATTTTCCTTAAATAGTTTAAGAACAGAATACTTAAAACTTACGCTGTTGCATATAGTATCTGAAACCTTCATCTTGTCCTGATGGTTGAGTAGAAATATCAAAACTGGCGGCACAGCCCGTGCAATTACCAGTATCCCGTGCATGAAATACACTTTTACAACCAGAGTCTTTTGCACATTCAAATAAACAGACAGATGTATCGTAGATTTGTGTTTTATCAAACACGCTGTCCATATCCATACATAATTTTCCATCAGCGTTTTCTCTCCGTTTAAACAATAGATTAGTTTCACCGTTTGTCAAAGCAAAAATTGAGTAAAAATAAAATCCGGTGTCAAAAATATGGTGACGCTTCATGTTCCGACACAAAAAAACTGTCTAGAATATCTTTACTGGACTTAAACGATATATTGCACTCAGGTATTGAAAAGAAAATTAAAAATGGTACAAATTCAATTCAACAATTTAATTGATATAATAGATTTATTTGTATTTCGTTTAGTTGTATATAATTATTGTCATTTATATGATCTAAAAAGTAATTCAGGTTTGAAATGTTTACTAGTATCACTCTTTTATACATTAACTAATAATTCCTTTATTATTAATATGTGCCATATAAAATGTTGGTTTTTTTTCTCGAATGATATCTCGCTAGTTAACGAAATACAACGATCTGCGGTTGTTCTTAATTTTTCATTACATTTTTATATATCTAGAAATAAAACCAGCCAATGACTAACACCATAAATAAATTAATTAAATAAATGATTAGATAGTGTCAGTATATCATTTCCTGAAAACTATTTGAACTGCAATTAGAAATCACAAAGAAGAAATCCATAACTCCATCGTTTTTTTCTGTAATTAATTATACACTTGCCAATGGGTGTATAGCAGTGAAACATAGCGTGACGCGGGCATCTTTTGTTATACGTATTTGTCAAATTAAACGCTCTTTCCATTAAAAGTAAATCGAAATTAATACTACCTGGGTAACATGCTAAGAAAACTTATACTTGTATGTTTAAGTATGTCTTGAAAGAACTTGTATGTTTAAGTATGTCTTGAAAGAACTTTTATGTTTAAGTTTGTCTTGAAAGAACTTTTATGTTTAAGTATGTCTTGAAAGAACTTGTATGTTTAAGTATGTCTTGAAAGAACTTGTATGTTTAAGTATGTCTTGAAAGAACTTTTATGTTTAAGTTTGTCTTGAAAGAACTTGTATGTTTAAGTATGTCTTGAAAGAACTTTTATGTTTAAGTTTGTCTTGAAAGAACTTGTACGTTTAAGTATGTCTTGAAAGAAAGAACTTAAATAATAATAAGTATTTTCAGCATAAGGTTATCCCTCGAATGTTGTAAAACAACTATAACAGTAAAACATTGTCAAAAAGTTCAGATTAGTGTTTTATAGCATCTGTTCATGAGAGATTAAGAAATGTCCACGTTATTTCTCAGTCCTTAAAAACCGCCTGAAGCAGCATATTATCCTAAAAAAGACATTGTATAAATGATATGAACCAATCACCAATCATTTAGCGATGTACTTTCAAGAACTGTCACTGAAAGTTAATAGCCGTAGATACAGAATAATACAATTTTAGTTGAGTTCAATAATTTATGGCTTAAGCATTGTGGTTCGTCCGGGACCCCTAGCATTCAGCGTAACTTACGTCACGACACGAGCATTGTTGCGTTCATGATATACAAAACAAACAAACAAACAAAAAAGCATTAAAAAACATTCTTGAATCTTAACTTTTCCCCCGAAGTGTTTACTTCAGAGGCACGTGGTGTTTCTGGGCGCACCATTGAAATAACCCTGTTTAACAAAGGAAAATTTTATTAAAATAAAAAGAAATATACACAGATTGAAATCATTTCGGGGCAATTCCTTCATTATCTCACAGAGCAAGTAGATATGGTCGAACTCCTCGAAAAGTACGAAAGACATGATTTCATTCACAAAAAAGTCAAAATATCTATATGAAAGTTTATTTTAAAAAAATGTCTGAATAATAAAATGGATATACAGAACTAAAAATATAAACAGCAATATCATGTAAACATATACAATTGCGTACAAATAATGTTAAAAAGCGGAGACAGGAGGCAATTTTAACCCTTTGTGTTAAACATTGGCTTATAAACTATAGTGTATAGAAATTCACTAGAATAATGTTAAGATATTAAAGGGGCACTATTGAGGGGGTTTCTTTCCGTTTAAACAGTAATTTTTATATATCTAGAAATAAAACCAACCAATAACTAAGACCATAAATAAATGATTAGATAGTGTCAGTATATCATTTCCTGAAAACTATTTGAACTGCAATTAGAAATCACAAAGGAGAAATCCATAACTCCATCATTTTTTCTGAATTGAATGACGTCTCAGTAATTAATTATACACATGCCAATGGGTGTATAGCAGTAAAACATAGCGTGACGCGGGCATCTTTTGTTATAATGTATTTGTTAAATTAAACGCTCTTTCCTCTAAAAGTAAATCGAAATTAATACGACCTGGATACCAAGACCATGCTAAGAAAACTTATACTTGTATGTTTAAGTATGTTCTAGAAAGAAATAAACCAAATAATAAAAAGAATATTCAGCATTAGGGTATTTCTCGAATGCAGTAAAACAACTTTAACAGTAAAAACAATGTCAAAAAGTTCAATTAAGTGTTTTATTGCTCTGTGTCGATAGACGCGGAGCTTTTTGTGTTGACTGTGTTTTTTTATCCATGGACCCGATTTTTATCAATTAATCCCTTCGATTTACAGCTAAAAATAAATTCGGAGGCAAGAATTCCTTCCGATTTCTATTATGTAAAGTCATATATTGGTTTCCCGTTCGGTGATTCGCAGCATGTCATATATATACATGAATGAGAACGGGGAAAAATTTCACGCCTCAACAGCTGGTAAGGCACTAAAAAAAAAAATAAAAAAACTTAAAATCGGTAATTTTTATCTCCTGCATTTGTATCTTCTACACATAAAAAAAGTAATGTTATTTAAAATAATTAAAAATATGGCTATATTATTAAAGGACATGGTAAAAGACATGCAAATGTTACTTGGATAATAAATACATTGTAAAATCAGAAGTAGTTTGGTTTTGACCAAAACGGTCATTCGTAATAAATAACGAGCCGTGAAATGAAATGCAAACATATTCAACAATAAATTGCACTCTTTATAACTTAAAAATAAGGTAAGCAATGTTTTACGAATTGCTATATCTAGTATTGTCTTTTCCGTAGGTTGGTTCCGGTAAATTAATTTTTGATTCTATTTTGTTTGAAGGCAATCGGTTTTAGGGTGGCTTGATTTGAATGTTGATTTGCCGAATACTGTGACATTTTAACAACAGAAACTTTTGTCTGCAATTTATTTTTGAATAAGGTGTTATGGGTTTATTGATAGGACAAGGATTTTGAAGCAATTCAATAAAATAGTAGATTGATCTCCCATTAAGTCAATTAACAAAGCTCTTTTATTTATCATCAATGTCAAGTACATGTAGCTTTAATATCTTTGACTCGCATGAACATGATCTTAGTGAGTTTCCTCAAACCTGTCTAAAATTTGGGTAACAGACTTCCATCGATAAATAATGTTTCACCATATCAACATGCCATACTCACGATTTAAATGTACCATTATTTTTGTTAACGCGTATTACCAAAAAAAAATATCCTGAATTTGGTCTTTTTGAAATTCATCCGCAATTTTTCATTCCAGTGTGTTCTACTTTCAGTATTTATCTTTGACTTGAAATATAAAACTACTGTATCTTAAGTCCAAGGTATTAAAAGAACCATTTTTTTATAACTTGACATTACCAAAAAATGCATGTTATATTACTATATTAGTCCCTTTTGTTACTATTTTATATTATGTTTGTATTTTTGTTACAATTATAATAATAAAAAACAAAACTGTTTTGTATATTCAAAAGAAAATACATTTAAAATTTTTATCTCTAGTATACGATAAGTATAATTATGCAAATTTAAATGATTTACAAAACATCTGGAATATGGAATTGAATTGAATTGAATTGTACAAAAGCATTTAATCTAAAAAGAAAATGGCATGTGCACAGGAATGATTTGGCAAGGTATCTGTAATGATCGCATTTTTGTGTGCGCGGAGCTTCTCAATTGCTGCATTGCAGCAACATTTGTAATTGTAGCATCTGTTCATGAGAGATTAAGAAATGGCCACGTTATTTCTCAGTCCTAAAAAACCGATTGAAGCAGCATATTATGCTAACAATTAAAGATCATAAAGGTCAAGAAAAAGAACATGACAACATGGCAACATGACCATTTGCCACAAAGAACTTAACAACTGCTGTCGTGAGTATATAAATCTTAAAAAAGGGGATTCCTCGTGGGCATTTTAGACACATGTAAGACATTGTAGGACTAATATTGTCGTCTGTGTATGATCGTGTGAGAAAATCAAAGATGCAAAATCAAAATTTGTCTTGTCACTTTCTATTTAAGTAATTCTGAATAAGTGTTGAACTGGACGTTGCCACCTGGAAAAAAAACCTTGTCATGAAACATTTTACGATATGAATAAAATAATACATTAAAATTTAATATTTAAATCTTGGACTTCATTTCTTCGTTATTTCACATTTTTTGGATTTTGTAGTGAAAATGCGAAAATCACTGAAAGGAAATGCGTAAATCATCCATTGTAGTTGTTTGTACTTGATTTTTAAACTTAGAAATAAAAACGAAATTATTAATGAGTAAATTGATGAGTTATGTTCTTTACAGAGTTTTTGACTAATCGCTAGGACTCTAGCATTACAGTAACAAAAGACGTATTAAAAACGACACATCTGTATTGCAAAATATATTTCAATACGTAATAATTGGGTACATTAATTCATTCGATTTTGAGAATAGTTTGCATCATTGTCAATAGAGAAATCCACTCGAGTCTATAGATAATTATTGATGAAATGTATTGTTTTGTCCCGTCCCGAACATAGTATCCCCATATTTTATTTGTATTTCTTTTGTTCTCCTTTTTTGAAAGATTTAAAACGTCATAAATATCAATTTTATACTCTTTAAATAAAACAATATCATTTAATTTACACAATAGTCCAATTAGTCTTTTGTTTAAATTGAAATCCAATTAGTGAAAATTGTCAGTAACAAAAGAACACTTAACAATCAAACGCGGTTTCGTTTTCAATCTACTATAGACTTTGTATAAATGATATGAACCAATCATATAGCGATATACTTTCAAGAACTGTCACTGAAAGTTTAATAGGCGTAGATATAGAATAATACAATTTTATTTGAGTTCAATAATGTATGGCTTAAGCATTGTGGTTCGTCAGGCACCCCGGGCGTTCATTAAAGCTCCTGTAGCGTAACTTACGTCACGACACGAGCGATGTTGCGTTCATGATATAAAAAACAAACAAACAAACAAACAAAAATTAAACAACAAAAAAAAAATTCTTGAATCTTAACTTTCCCCCCGAAGTGTTTACTTTAGAGTCACGTGGTGTTTCTGGGTGCACCATTGAAGTAACCCTGTTAAACAAAGAAATTTCATTAAAATAGAAATAAATATACACAGATTGAAATCATTTCGGGGCAATTCCTTCATTATCCCACACAGCAAGTAGATATGGTCGAACTCGAAATGTACGAAAGACATTATTTCATTCACAAAAACAAGTCAAAATATCTATATTAAAGTTTATTTTAAAAAATGTCTGAATAATAAAATGGATATACAGTACTAAAAATATAAACAGCAATATCATGTAAACATTATACAATTGCGTACAAATAATGTTAAAAAGCGGAGACAGGAGGCATTTTTAACCCTTTGTATTAAACATTGGCTTATAAAATATAGTGTATTCACTAGAATAATGTTAGAATATTAAAAGGGCAATATTGAGATTTTTTGTACATGAAATGGCAGATGTTTTTTGTGTAACTGTCCATTTGACTTTTTTAGGATTTGAACCTCATTGGAAAGAGCCCCTTTAATATTTACCCTCTTTTTTGATATGGATTATTTGCTTTATCTGGGACATGAATTGTTAAAATTAGTAAACAAATATATAAAGGATTGGCATTAATGTAGTACATTAAGGAAAGGATGGTGATAATTTAAAAACGAAAATTTTTTTATGAATATGTTTACACCGGCATTTGTTTACGCACCTTATAAAATGTCCTTACGCACATAATGTTTGTATTTTGTTTGCCGAGAAATCACTTTGTAGTTTTTAGATATAATATTTTTAAACATAGAATGCTTCCGACGCAGCACAAAGTAAGTGAATTCCATTAGCTTTATTGAATATTTATTGTAATTAATTCCTTTGAAAAAGATTATATGTAAAAAAAACCTTTTAAATATTCGGTTGCGTTTCAATGCACATTCTGTCAATAATTTATATATTTATGGTAATCGGGCAATAAGGTATCTATAAATTTTAAGTTTGTTTCCTGTATCAATTTATGATATAATGAATGATTCGTTTTTTTTTCTTATGATAAAACATGATTCGTCCTTAATTACAAATATTCCCTCAGTATCAGATAGGCAAAGTAATTCGTAGCGCCAAAATACAGTCAACTGACGCGTTAAACAAAAGTAGCTCCTGTCGAACTTGTGTCGTATTCCACGATGCCGGGCATTTCGCTTTTTTCTAACTGCATGCAATTCCCCATCCGTACAAAATACATGAAATATGTTATGATAACATATGGATTTGTATCAATACAATTTTAAAACACGCTGTAAAACAAGTGAATTGTAAATATGCAAACCAGTTTCAAACATTATAGCCAATCAGTGCACGAATATCTACTTAAGACTTGCCTATAAGTGTCAACAAATACATGTGAAGTATTCAATAGTTCAATATTTAAATCATTTTGTTTACTTCATGCTTGTAACTGCGCATTGATATGAGAGTTTTTAAGCATACTATTGTACAACTAAATTCCTAATATAATATTTAATCAACCATTTAATAGATGATATATAACAGTATACCATAGCAGTTATTTATTTAACATATCGAATCAGCTTTTTGTGTGCATTACTAATTCATACAGACTCTTAAGAATGTAATATAGTCTTTCTCATTGACAAATTTCAATACATCTTGTCAAATTCTTCATCTACGGAACACCTTGATGGTTTTTATATGTAAAAAGCGAGTGATTATTATGCGTAAAATCCCCACAAGAACACCGCCAACGTCATAAGGACGATGGCGTTGACATTAAGGACTCGTTTCCACCATTTTGTTTCATGGATTGACAATTGTTTTCTTTCAATCGCTTTTTGCTCTTCGTCTGTCAATTGTGGTCCATCATCGTCGTGTTTCTCTATACCGCATATCCATTGACCGGCTTTCTTGTACCATGGCAGTGTCTCGTATTCCTCTGTTAAAATAAATATTTTAAAGTGAGAAACGTTTAATTATATTTCAGCTAGTTTACTGGTTTCTTTCCTCAGTTTCTCTTCTAATAGGAGGACCCCAATGATCGTAAAGTTACGGTTGCTGAATTCATATCACTCGCCCCTCACCGCTTTGGGTTCAAATCCCATTAGGGACTTTCAATGCTTTATCTGAGCAAGCTATCTAGCTTACTAAGGGAGTCTCGGTGGTTCTACTCAGGTGCCCGCCCATGCCTGAAATAATACCTAAGCTGTCCCTGCACCCGTAAATCTTGATATGTCGGTATCATTAGTCACTCAACAAAAAAATCCTGTTAAATGAACCAAAACAATTGCTTATTTGGGAATAAGTACATTTATGGTGATTTTGAATTTAGTACGGAAGTCGACCAAGTAACACTTTGTTCATATTTTGCTTTTGCTCTTGTATTTTGCTTTATCACAAATTACTTCAGAGCCATTGTTATTCTTTTAATTAATAAGCATATGTCATGCTCTAAACCCAATCATACATCTTTAAAAGAAAAACTAAGTGTGCTGTGCGTTTAGGTAAATTGACTTACGGTCAGATCCAAATACAGTTATACTCTTTGCCGTCGGTTCCACTTGAGCATCCTCAGATATGTCTATTCTCTCTTTCTGACTGTAGCGACTCCAGAATGTCAAACGGTGTAACTATAAAAAAAACACATATTAAATTGGTAACATAGTTTACTATGTTATTATTACAAACATTTATAAGAATATAATATAGTAACATCGATTTGATTAGGACAGTCGTAACGTTTCCACATCTGCTTCAGATGTTTTAATTTAATTATTATTTTAATCAAAGGCAAGTATCGTATGGCATGCCACTGCTGGTCAATTACATGTATAGAATGTGTTGGAAGTTACATGACCTGATATTTTTTCAATTTAGGCTGTAAAACATAAGTGTAAATGTTAGATAGGTGCAGCCGTGGCCAAGTGTTTGCGGTTATTGACTTCATACCACTTGTCCCTCACCGCTGTGGATTCAAATTCGGCAATTGCCTTTCAATTCTTTCATGTGATGAAGCTATCACGCTAATTTAGATGCATCTATAATAAACGGTGTGTCGCCTGAGGTCTTCCTCAACCAGTAAAACTTCCGAGTGGTTAAATGATCTTAACAGTTTTGGCGTGACGTAAAACCCACCCAAACAAAGTAAAAGATAGATAGATTGATACTCACGTGTTTGTCTTCAATGGGTTTCGTGAGAAGGCTGACGATGATGGTTACAATGACGCACAAAAGGAAGAGGATGCACCCGAAGTGAAGATAGTGAACGTCAGCAATGATTGCTGGCCGATGATCGTCTTCGGACTCCCCACAAGGTGGCACTGTGTACGCATACTCCCATGCAAAACGTATAATTCCCACAAGAAGTCCTACCATTAAACCCCAAAACGCACCCTGAAAAATTAATGTAATTTTTCACAATTACTGTAACGTACCCTGGAAAAAAGTAATTTGTAAATAGTAATCTGTAGGCAGGAGCTATTCTCAGTAATGCATAAACCATTGCCAGCCAAGGCAAAATGTGTATATCTAGCATTTAGAAATGATGCAAACGTTCTGCTGATCAAGTATTCCATACCGAATATTGTTTAAAGGGACTCCACTGAATTCTTTTTGACATGGTGGGACTGATAATCTTTTTTCGAGATCTGTGTACCATTTAATGTATGTCTAGACCAATAACTTGTTTGCAACATTTCAGATCATTTGCTCGATCCATTGTTCCTGAATCATTATTCTAATTGTGAAAAATGACCTAAATTTGTAAAACGTTGCAACGCTTTTTTTCCAAAACAGGCCTAAGAACAGCACAAAAATACGTTTTTAAATTCATTTTTGAGTGTAATTTATAATTATTATTTGCATATATTTCTGTTTAAAGGGTCCCAGCTGATCTTTATTATAAATGTAAATTTTATATTTTAGGCTCTCATAAGTTGAGTTCCTTTAAGATATTTTCTTCATATATCATACTTTCATTATAATGTCATCAGATACATGACCAACCTTAATGTTTTATTCTTTTAATTCTATTTAATATTTTAATATTGCTAAAAATCTACTAAAAGCAATTCAAATTTCAAAATAAGAAACATAGCATCAATATCAATTTTTATTTACCGTTTTCTGTGATAAGTATTCATTACAATATCGTTCAATTTACTGGCATAGCATAACATATCAAGTCTTAAGATATGTTTTAACTAGTTTTAATAATTGACATTGCAAAAAATCTTACTTTAAATTAATTTATCAGGCCAAACATTACTTTTAGAAGGCATTGATTATCTTTTCTTGCATAATTTTAGCAATTTTTTTTTATTCTTTCATTTTTGTATCACTTAATTCACATTGGAATGGGTCCATACACCATTATATTGATTTGCTTATTCAACTCATCTTTGAAAATTGAAGTTGTCTTAGAATAGACTTGCATTAGTTGTATTTACAGACCTGTTCATTTATTCGTTTCCAAAACACCGCCAGTACGTAAGTTGCACAGATAGGTGGCGCCAAAAAGCTTGTAATTGCCTGTATATAGTGAAATAACTCCCCAAAGTTCTGAACAATAGGAATCCATAGAATTGAAATGGCTACAAGAACTACAACACAAAGTCTGTAAATGAAAGATAAACGTAAAAAGTAAATACAAAATAAAGTATTCAAATTAGAAATATGTAACTAAGCATATAGGGTGTTTTTTCTTTAAAGGTCCTAAGGCATGCTATGCTGGTATTTTTATTTCTCAAACGCTTTACATTTTAATATTATAGTTTTAAAAAAATACTCATTGGTCAGTTATGTTAACAATCTTTTGTTTATACATTATTTTTGGTAATTAGTACAAAGTATTTGGTGTGGAAGTCAAAATACTACTTTGTTTACATTTTGCCTCTTTTATGAGAAAGAATTTCACATTCTGCACTATATTCTTCAGGCGATGAGCATCTAACATGCTCTTGACTATTATTTAAATGTTATAAAGGTCATGTTTGCCCTTAATAAAGAAGGAAAAATATATTTGTCTTTGAGGCATAATGCGCCTTTAAAGGTATTTTGCGTTATTAGTAATAAAAAGCAATGATACATAATATGGCCGTATAAAAACAAAATCATACTTAATCCTATAATAGTCTTCAGTAGGAATTTGTAAATGCTACTCAATCGAATTCTTTGATAAAAAGATTTTTTTTTAGAAATTTGCTCCAGACCATTATCTGGATATAACGTCATATAACTACGATATAACTAAATTATATAAGCCGCGCCATGACAAAACCAACGTAATGCATTTGCGACCAGCATGGATCCAGACCAGCCTGCGCATCCGCGCAGTCTGATCAGGATCCATACTGTTCGCTATCAGTTTCTCTACTTGTTATAGGGTTTGTAAGCGAACAACATGGATCCTGATGAGACTGCGCGAATGCGCAGGCTGGTCTGGATCCATGCTGGTCGCAATCGCATTATGTTGGTTTTGTCATGGCGCGGCTCAATTATATCTTATGAGATCACATGATCATCTAGTCTTATAAAAAAAAAATAGTTTGCTTTCGATGTATACATATGGACACATTTATTGATGTATCAAACATTAATTAAATCAAATTCTGTACTTTTAAGCCAATAATGAGTAAATATTTTTGGCGGGAAAATAAATTAGTTATTTTTACCTGCCAACCACCATAAGTTCTACATCAGAAGCATTTTTGCGGATTAATCTCCAAATATCCATCGTCATGATCGTACTGCTACTGTTAAAAATTGAAGTTAGAGATGAAATGAGAGCCGACATCATTACAGCCAACATCAGCCCTCTCAGCCCGGTCGGCATGATTTTAAGTACGAGCTTCGGGAAGGCAATATTCGTACAACCTTTCTCACTTTCGCATACTTCCATACACGACTTAGGATCAGCACAGGCAACTTCGTCTGAAATTTAAAAAAAGAAAGGAATTAGTATGCACTTTGGTTTAAAAGAATCATGCTTGACATTTATGCAAACGGGAGGCATTGCGGAGGAATGTCAAGGATTTATTTTCATCCGATGGTATAAAAAATAAATATTTCATGAGTGGCGTGAGCCATGAGTGAAATATGATAATTTTCATAGCACAAGATGAAAACAAATCCTGTATTTATAGAAAAAAACTTTAATTTTCTGTTAATTTTATACATTTTTTCAGTCGTTTTTTTTACATTACGATTTGACAGACATCCCCCCTTATGTTTGTGAATTGGCTGAATTTAGAAGAAAGTAGTCCAGGAATACCGAAAATATGTTTCACTGCAGTGAAAAAGATATTTTTACACTTAAAATACGGCAAATGAAAATACGCAATTCATTTCATCAATATTTCTCAATATTTCATTTATTAGTATATAATAAACAATTTCAGAAAACAGTTTTGTTCATTGCATCCTCAATTCTTCTTCAAAAGACACCTTATTAATCGTTCTGACATAATTATGAATGTTTGTTTTATTGTGTCCATGTATAAAACAGATTAATTTCTCTCTGTTTTTCAACATGTGTCTAGAAAGAGGATCTAACAAACTGTTTCCGTATATATATATACTTGGAGCTAAATACAACGGATAGGAAGCTCCGAAAAGATACGACAGTCAGATTCAGACCCACAATCCTTTGCGCGCTTCGGTGATAATCGGGTTTTCCCGCTAGTCTTCGATTTTTCGCGCTCTCGTTAAACACAGATATATACACAATATATTTAGCTCCATGTATATATATCTGTGATATATATATAAGAAGCGTTAAGACCTACCTGGGAAAAGAATTCTTGCAATCATTCCTGGGAACACTATTAGCCATAGTGGTAGAAATTTTAGATATCCCGCAAGAATAGTACCTGCCTTGGCGTGTGATAAATTCTTAGCAGCTAATGCTCTTTGTACGATAACCTGAAATTGAATGTTATATGACGTCAAAATGGTCGGGTGGTGACCCCAGAAGGTCTCGAACTGACGATCTGTTTGTGTGTCTAGCATATTTCGTACATATAATCACAATGTCGTTTCAATAAGAAAAAGTTATACCTTCTAAATGCATAACATTAACATTTGTACCAGTGTTTGATTAAACATATTTTACAAAATTATAGTACTCGACTCCTAGTCAAACTTCGGCAGCATAACAGCAACAACAACAACAACAACAACAAACAAAATAGAAACAGAAAACGAACCTGATCAGAGCACCAGTACCACACCGATGAAATTGTGAGACCAAACATTATTCCTGGCCAAGGGAGAGAACCGTCATCGTAACTTCTGATAAGATTCATAGAGTTATCTGGAGGAATACCACATTTCCAGTACGGGTAGCTGTCGTTACCGTAGTTAGCTTTAGTGGTTTCCGGCCACGCCTCAAAATATTTCTTTACAATTGCTTCGTAACCACCAACTTCTATGAAGCCTGGAATATACGAGAAAATAAATGCCAGAAATGACTTCCAACAATCATTTATAGGTTTTCAAACTTCTCTTAAAATGATTTGTTCATTGGGTTTTTTTTCTTCATTTATTTGTATCTGATCATCAGAAATAAACTAACATCCTCTTTACTTGTTCCAGCCTTAGAGTTACGTCACACCGGAAGCAGAAGCTCTCTGGACATTATCAGAATGCAAGTCTTAAGTATAAAAATAGACTATCATACATGTTCTAATGGTTTACCAGACTTTACATTGCTTCTAATTCAATTTCAGTATTTTTTTAGAAATCCGGAAGCTGATCATTCTTTTGTAGAAAAGGTAGATAAGTCTTTTCCATAGAATAATCTCCCTTTCCGGAAGTAAGTCAATATTTAAGCAAGGGAGCTAACTAGGTATTTAAATGATGAATAAACATCAGACGACAGTGCAAAGAAACCTACTCATAACCATGAGAATGAAAGCACCAATGACCATGATGACCACCTGGGCGAAATCTGTCCATATCACAGCCGTGAGACCTCCTGAAAATATATACAATGTATAAGAAAATAGCACAATAATATGCATACGTATACATGAGGTAACTTAATTGTAATAAACAATGAAGGACCCTAGATAATGTTGGTATAACTTTTGGTCCAACCCTTTTGTATGTACATTGTATTTATGCTTAAGATAATAATGTTAGATTGTGTAAATTTATCATGTACATAATATGCAATAAAATATAAACAGCCCAAAAGAGTGTATTAGGGTGCTATGACTGACAAATATTAAGGCAGTAAAATTACTGATGCATATAATTACATGATATTATAAAACTTTATCATATGATATTCTAAATTTGTCAAAACACTTCATTTATATTTTAGATTTATAAATACTTGATAATATCAATCAGATAAAAATCCATATTTCCCACATTTTATATCCCATAATTAAATTAACAATTTGGCGTACTGAAAATTCTTTTGGGTTAATTAGAAATGACAATTTTTCATTTACAAACAACAACAACAACAACAACAAACATACAAACATATATATCACCTGCTATTGTGAATAGAGCAGAGACCGCCAGTAAAATAACAACTGCTAAATAGAGATTCATAGTTACTGACTGGGTGATAAATAACGCCCCAGAATACAGATCAGCCTGAAATGTAATAAAATTACAAATAAACATTATTTTCCGGGAAAAAATTCAAGAGAAAATTATTTTTTTTTTGTATTTTTTACATTACTTTATAGCAATTTCATATTTTGAAAGTTTACAAGACCAAAATGCATACAGACCGGGTCTCTATCATTGTTAAAAATGTAGATATTTTGTGTTGAAAGTATGACAGCGCGTGGAACCAGACTATAATAGTACTTCCAGTCATCGGACATTGCCGGAAAACTATCGGACAAACGCAGCGGGCAGTCATTGGTTGTAACTTGACACAAGATAAGATAAGATAATTAGGTGTTTCACACTATAAGACCGGTGCTAGGGTGTGTTGACGATGTCGCGCATTTACCGGTGCCGACCATAAAAGTCTAAATCAAATCAGATCAAACCTGCAATATTTTAAATTCATTTTAAAGTGTGGCGCGACGTTTATAGGTATTCTAAGTTTCCAGTTTTTATGTCTTCAAGTTTTGATTGGTCAAAATAATAAAATCAAGGAAACAACATTTTAACTGAAGCAATCAAGATAGTGACACCCAGGTTGTATGAAGTTCAGAACACTGTTTTATTTTCAGAATGATGACTGATGAATCAAATCAAAAATAAAATTTATATAAAAACAACCTAATTTTGTGATCAAATACCGCGACACCGGTATATGCAAAATCATCGTCGTTTACCCACGGTATATATTCCGTACATATTACATAATATATATGTAGTATGTACGGAATATATAACGTGGGTAACCGACGATGATGCAAAATAGACCCGAGTTTTGTTGTCAGCAACGCAACCGTCTCACATTATTGAAATAGAAAAGAATAGTATAACTTTTATTTACAGTCAAGACATATAAACCAAAATAATAATGAGATCAACGATCAAATGAAGATGTTATGGGCAATAAAGCCCGATTCGTATAAGCAATAACAATGAACTGAAAATGTAACTAATAACCTAGACTTAACAATGAAAAATATCAATGATATCAAATGATACTTATATAATATAAGCAATAACTGCATTACTGTATCTTATGATAAGTTTTATTTTAAATCACAACTTCAGAAAGTCTTTACAAAAAGATTAGATTATAGCTGTAGTAGAAATATCTGTTCTATCTTTTTAAGTCACATCTTTGCTACATAAAAATGGATATGTCTTTGACCTGTGAACAATTAATTTGTTATGAATATATAGGTATTACTACTGAACCGAAACTTTGGGGTTGAAGCATGTGTGAGGTGCGACTGACCTTTCTCGAGCTAGTATTTAAAACTTTACATGATTTGCTGATCATTTGGGACGCAGCCAAGCGTTTGGGGGTTGGGGCGGTGGAGGGTGTAAAATAATACAATTTATCATTACTCATCATAATAACTTACTGATATTTTTGTAAAAACATATAGTGCTAAAGCTAACACTGCTAGATACACTCGAATTCTTTGCCCGCCGAATCGTTTTCTCAAATATTCTGGCATAGTAAATACCTGAAATTAAACAATGTAAATTGATAATTTCTGATTGAATTTAGTTTCCAGTTACGCTGTATATCAAATATGTTTCTTTTAATTAATTTACATGACGACAAAATATGAAAAGAAAACTTTACTAATTTAGATTAAAACGTGCATATAAGGAACTTGAGATATCTCTGAGACAAATGCGCATGCCCTGATATTGTATATTGTTCAAAATACGAAAAGGTTCCAATTTAGTATCTTTAACTATTAGCAGGAATCTTTCTTTAAAAAAGCTATATTCAAAAGATGAATACAGATTCAAAGTATCCCTAGCCTTGTGTGCTGAAAGTAATTAGCCGTTGTCATCAGTATTCGTGCAGTCTGGCGAGGCTCCATATTGTTAGATGCTAACATTTTGTATTTTGCTATTGAAATCCCTCGAACTTTGAATGGAAAGTTCTGAATTCAAACCTGGACAGATTCATTATAGAAATATAGCAGGTTAAGGATGAGCTATCAATATTTCTGGAGACAGACGTATGATATTGGAAATAACTTCTCCTGTAGTTGTGTGAAGATAGAAATATTTCTGATATGGTATTGGTTACATCCATAAACTGACCCTTAGAAAGGTATTTCTTTAGATTTGTTTAAAGGGGCCTTCAGCTTTTATTGTTGTGTTGTTTTAAACTGAAGTATTTCAGAAATTCTATCTTGGAAAAGTGCATAAAAAAACTGTAGGTCATCTTCAAAGCAGCATCCCGAGTGCTTTTTATAACGCAACAGGGGCGTTCGTTTCTAAATATAGAAGTTCGGGAAACCAATCTCTTTAAATATTGAGAGCGGACTGTAGATTACATTCTTATTGTTTGTGTATTTTATCGTCGGCAAATTTCATTTTCAACCCTAATTCTTTTGATTTGAGAAATATATGAAAAGATTTATCTAAAAATAACATATTAAATCTTTAGAAAAGCTGAATGCCGATTTAATGTCCATATTCTCTCATAGTATATCAAAACTAACTATGAAAATGTGTTACTAGTATATGGCAATACGTACCCCTGCTGCGGTGTAAACCGGAACAAAGAGCCATCCTAGCAGCATTAGAATGAATATAGCCTGTAAATTATAAACAGTATAAGTATTTATTATAAATCACAGAACGCTCATACATTAATCTATCCGCAGATTGTTTTATCACTTGACTCAGGAACTTTAGGTTTGCTAATATTCATTTGCAAATCGTTTTGTACTCATCTCCTTTATTGACAATCGTCCTAAATGTTGAAATGGGTGTACAGAACAATTCTCATAAACTTGGGGCCACAAACCGCCATTGGACTCCCGACTGGCGTCAGTGTAATTTGCAGCTTATCTGGGACTCGAATCCCGTACCATTGGATGACCATTCCTAAGCTTTGCTAATTACGCTACCAGACCGCTAAAACCTTATGTAACCTATTTATGGTTCGTTCCTTATTCAGTGACAGACAATAATTACGTGACCAAACAAAAATACATATACACTATAATACAGTGACATACAATAATACAGTGTCATACAAAAATACCGTGACATATACAATCATACAGTGACATACAATAACACCGTGACACACAATTATACCGTGACATATCATTATACCGTGACATATTATAATACTGTAACAAAGAATGATACCTTTAAGTACAATAATGCTGAGTGACACACTAATATTTAGAGTAATGTAAACAATTCTCAATAACTATCTGTAAATACTTACATTAAGTTCGAACACGGCAATACCAATCCCATTGGACGCCCCTGAACCTGCCAACCCGACGAAATGCCCGCTGCCAATGTTACTAGCAAACAATGAAGCGCCGACCTTGAAAATAAAATCATTCAACAATTTATATTCACATACAAATAGACTTTCAGTGAAAAAAAACTGTATGATCGTGTGCCTTTTCTCTACTTGTTAGTGCCATATGATATTGTTAAAGGCGCATAATGCCTCGGAAACGAATAAATTTAACATCTTTCTAAAGGGCAAATATGAAATTTATAACGTATAAATCATGGTTTTCAGAAGAAAGTAGCGCTAAATGCCGAGTAAGGTCATAATAAAAGAACCAAAAAATGTAAACAAAGTAGTATTTTGACTTGCATGAAAGATACTAATTCACTATGAATTACATAATTGACTAAAAAATCAAGAAAAGGAAGAAAGGTGGTTCAGGAAATGGTCCAAAGAGAAATGTTTTGGAAACCTTAAAATTACACCAAAAATGGGAAATAAAAATAAAAGCATTGCTGTGACAAAATGGGCCTTTAACGTCTAGCTATTACAGTCTAGCTCTTAACAGTTTAGATCAACAAAATTAAATACCTACCTAGAAAACAGACAAGGTTGGGTACAATGTTATTTTGGTTATGTATGAATACATCTTCAAAATTTAACATAATACTTGCTTTACGCAAAGCCCCATCAAAAACTAACTTTATTATGTACATATAAATTATGTAAACACAGATTTAGTTTCCAAGGCTACTGAAATTATTTTGAGTACAATAAAGTTTTCGTATAAAAAGATATATATCAGTCTAATTGCCAACAGCTGTACTGTGATTTAATTATTAAAACAGAAACATTTCTATGTTTTTGCCATGCTCATGTACAATATAATGTTTTATGAATAGCAATATTAAAATTATGTGTTAACTATCAGATTCTGCGCGTTCAGCCTTTTACAAATCGAAAATATGTCATAATTTGTTCACATATTTACCTACATAAATCGAGTAATATTTGCATATTATAAAAGTTTTAAGTAGGGTACTAGGACAATCATGGATATGCATAAACTGTTCAAATAAATTTATGGCTCGCATTTTTGAACGTTTAATTCTTTAAATATTTGAACAGATAGACTATTTCTTCGGTACATTGACTCTATGTATATTGACCCAACTAGATCTATGTTACTATATTTGAATAACAAAACGCTTCACACACTTTTCGTTTTTAAAAGTCACCCATGAGGCTATGTATAGATATATAACGGAAGAGGAAACATAAAGGTGTGTTTTTAATCATTTTTTTCTTTCATAACCATGACATTAATTTATAATTTTGTTAGATTTTCGCTTGACAAGGATTATTCTTATTAACATTGTCTCTTTCTCACGGAACAAGCCCCTCCCTGCTTCGCGGGTATCAATAATATAATTATAATGATATCTGTATTTAAAGAAAGTAACACATGAAGATATACCATCGTAGAAAAAAATAAAATATCTTAATTTTAAATGTGGCCTTTTAAACAAGTATATATTCGCACCGATCATATATGATGCCCCTTTTTGGCATTTCTAGAGGCGAAATGTGACGGGACATTGTTGGGGCTGCGTTCCGCGACCATTGCTGTCTTGCTCTTTTTTACCTAAACTCACATATTATCTATAAAATGGTAAATGTACTTTTATGTAAAAAAAGTATTCTCTATTATCTATCTATATCATATGGACAAGTATTGACAAAGTATCATAACATATCAGTTATGTAAACACAAAGTCAGAAAAAACACCATTTTTCAAGGTTAAACAACTTAAAATCTGAAGCTATGCAGGTATGATGTTTAATCAGATAGGTTTACTTGTTTACAAATTTAGTGCACGTCATAACAATTTGTCAGTTGTAGGCATTTCATGATTTTTGAAATATGTGACGAGTTCGTTTAAGGGCACTTGACATTTTGCAGTGTTTAAGAGTACCTCGTCAAGATATCGGCAAAACAAAGCGCGCGAGTGCACTCTTAAAACGCAAGACGTGAAAGCCGTCACGAGTCGGTGGGGATAATTATAAAATTTCTTAATGAATGTTTCTAAATATTATAGTTTTCCTATAAAGCTTCACCCCACCCTCACAGATGAGTGCCAGAATGATAAGAACAAAAATAACTGAAGAAAATATTTTAAAGTGAAATTATGCACGCTTCTTCACAATAAAGCTGAATTGATTACATACTTCAAAAGATTAACTTATTATGGTGGACCAACAGTTGATATTGGAAAATATTAAGGATAAAATATAAGTCTGCCAAAAATATAAAAAAGACTGCCCCACTGTTTTTATAAATTGAATGTTACAGGTAAATTCCGATGGGTATTTACAACCTTTGGTCACGTTAGTTATTTATCGTTCATGCAAAGTAAATTATAAAATTGAAAGTGTTAACTTACTGTTGATTCACTTAATACCCACGATTGGGCATGATGCCCATTTTACTGAACAATTCGCGTGATAATTTTAGAGTTTTATGTAAATATGACATAAGGACTAGTTAATATCACCATAATAACATTTCTACCCTTTTGTTAGAAAAAACACGCTGTTCATATCTGTATATGGTTTTGATATATTTCTGTATTTATAAATAGCGTCTCTGACTATATTAAATCAGTGTATTTTGTACATTTATCAACATCGTGTGCTAATTAGAACAGAACAGAACGGAACAGAACAGAACAGAACGGAACAACTCTGTTCTGTCCTTTTCTGCTAATTAGAACAAGTTTTCAATTTCATATAAAATAACAACAATATGTAAGCGTGCCGCTTTAGTTGCAATCCGCGACGAACTCGTTAAGAGTATACGTATACATCGTCATTTAAACTATTTAACATGAATTGAAATTTTATCAATCAAAAGTTATGTATAGTGAATTTGCACATGAAATATTTGCACATATCTAAAACTAAACGCCCCCATAATTTATGAGTTAACATTTTTGAAAAAAAAAATAGATAGATGAATAAATAAAAATAAAAAAATCTTAAGATAGACTTACGAAGATTGTAAAAATTATGTCATACATATGGCACTTTGTATAATAAATATTCATAAAATATTTAAAGAATATCATAACTCTAGGAGTGTGCTGCTTTAAAGAAAAAACAAACTTAATACGACATAGTCTGCATAAAATCTGAATAATTATTTAACATCTATGCAATCCGGGGAGGGCCACGAACATCATTCAAGTAAATCTTGTTTGTACCTGCATTTTAAGCTTTACTTATAAATCTTTAATTTTTATGAATTTTGATTTTGCTTGAATTTTGAATTTAAACAGCATTTTCATGTATCATAATGCATCAAAAAAATGTTAATCGATTGCTTTAATGGTGGAATATTCCGGCAACGGAAATCTAAGAAATTATAGTAACACATATACCCTTCTACAACTATTTCGGACGTCTGCCAATACATCATTATAGTATCAAGGAACATTTTAATCAAACCAATGCTACTGCTTTAGACATTGTTGTTGTTGTTTTATTTTTTTCTCAAGCTTTAAACATACACTTTTAATGGTTGTTATTTGATTCAAGGCAACTGTGCTGTTAAAAATCCAGAAAGTAAAGGCATGAAGGTCAATATCAAAAGATATGATAGTTTGGTATCTGTTGTTTTTTTTATTCGCCAAAATTACTATAAGACAGTTGTCTGTTTATACGTTTACACCCATGTTGAAAATGTTAGCGACGTAATCACGTGGTTTTTTAACATACCGCTGTTTGATAACGGTGCTATGTCAGAAGGTCTCTGTCCGTAAAAATTAAAAATCTTCCGGGTTGATAAGGTCAAAACTGACCAATGAAAACTAATCAAAAACTTTCTAAACCTCAGTCTTTGTTAATATAAAGTTGTTCCATTCTGGATGAACCGAATAATTCAATTGATTTGAGATAAGATATTTAAATAAAGTGCTTTTTTATTCTGTTCAATTAAGATATGTTAATACTTCTTCATCTACTTCATCTTATCATAATGATAAAAAGAATTGATGAAATACATGATCAAATTTGTCATCCCAAGATAGAGCGAGTGGGATGAATGTACATGTATACTTTGAACGTATAAAAATATTCCTAAACAACCACCTGCAAATCGGACAGACATAGCTTATACTACGGCAGTGGTATGCATTTTGAATAAATTTATTTATGCAAGTCACGCACTCGCATCACTTGAAATCAAGGTTATGCTTGATTTTATTTTGCAAGTTTTTATGTAACAAGAACATCTATAAAATCTAGCCTTGGTCATTATTCTTGAGAATTTATGCGAAATCAGTTGTCTTATATCTGAAAACCTTTTATTGATCTGGTGAAAGTATTTTAGAAATGAAACGAGACGATGATAACAATGAATACATAATAAGCCCGCATTTTTTTATTTTTTTTTTTAAGGGAGGGGGGGGGGCGAGTTTGGGTATTTTGTTGTTATTTTTTAAATTTCGGTATGGATTGCCGTGATATAAAGCTGGTACCCCAATTGTGTAATCTCATTTCTGATAATTCGTATATACGTACCGGGATCCAGTGCATGCTCCTTCCGGCTAAGAAGTACCCTTTCACACTTCCTCTGTTTCGACATGATGACTGAAAAAGAGTAGAATATATCCGAATATAAAAGCCAAGTTTGTACAAAACATATTGAAAATACAAAACAACGGAGAAATGCAGACTATTAAATTAGACTTTGATTTCGAATAACTGACGTGAACTTTTTTTCCTTACAAAAAGGTAACATGAAAATTTACGAGAAAGGTAGTTGGTAAATTTTTATCGCAAAAGAGGACTTAAGGCTTAGCATATTTTAGATAAATTCTGTAAATCAAAATACATTTTGGAGATATGTATATGTCCTGGTTTACAGACTTCTTAATAACAGAAATTCTGAAATAACATGAACATTTTATATATTAAAATAATATCAAAAGCTAATAGCAATAACAAAAGATTGATTCAGGTTTTTATCAAACTTTAAGCTACATTGTATTAATATTAAAGTACGATGATAAAGAGGCTACGTAGGTGCAATTCTGATTTGAAGTGTTTATCAAAGATAAAGTGAATTGTACGTGCGCGGCTAAAATATCTACAAACTATCATAATATTGACATAATGACAGTTGCCTGTTTACAGGTTTTCACCCTTAGAAGAATGTAAGTGACGTAATCATGTGATCTTTTAACATACCACTGTTTGATAACGGTGCTATGCTGGACGGTTCCGTTCTTCGAAAATAAGATATCATCCGGGTTGATAAGGTGAAAACTGACCAATAGGGAACGAGTTAAAAATGATAAAGGTGAAAACTGATCAATGGTGAACGAATTAAGAATTATTAAAGTCAGTGTAAAAAAGTACGGAAACCAAGATTGACCATTTGTAGCTGCAAAACATGTTTTGTCGCTGAGCAGAACGCCTGTTTGTGTATCGTTTAAGGACAAACAATGACGCATAAGAAATGATAATTTTCTTCTCAAGTGTCTGAATATCTTTTAATTGATCTCAAATAATGCACGATGCAATTATGTAATTATACTGTTTTAGACTTCATTCATATCATTTCGGTAATACAATGCTTCATTCCATTATATCTTATAAGCCGGTTTTCAAGTGAGACCTTACTAGGTCTACAACTGACACGATTTCTATATCGAATAATGCAAAAAGTACAAATTTTTAAACTAACCAAGGTATGAATGATGTGATTTATTTTGAATCCGAAAAAGATAAGGAAAATTGATTTCGAGCGTATGTTTACCCATGGCCAAAAATGCTTTAATTTAACGATAAGTAAATACGAAACTATATTCACAAAGAACAAGACATTTGTTGTCCATGTATATGGCAAGTGTACCTTCACTCAATGCATAAATGTTGACCCATCTTCCATTAAATCAAACAAACATTGGATGTACATGTTTTACATGCAAAATAGTGTGGTAACAAAGCCTGATAATTTCAAAATATGGATACTTGTCCGCAGTCTGAGAGCTTGAAATCTGGGCTGAGTCTTGAGTTCCATTTTTATGAAAGTCGATGAGTGAACAAGTTTCAAAATTAGATTTTAAAATTTTTAAAAGTTAAGAATATTTCGAGCTTAGTTTACCCGTGGCAAAAGCTGGACGTTACACTGAAACTATATTAAAAAACAAAAATTTGTTTCCCTGTTTCAAGTGGTTTACTAAATATCCCCGTAAATAAAAATTTGGGTCGCACTGTTATGAAACAGGAAAAATAAAAATTCATAATATGATCTTTCCAATGTGGTTTTAATTTAGCCCTTTTTACCCGTATGTTCCAGTGAAATCCATGATTTTCCAGTTCTGTTAATTGGAATACTGCTAACTCTTAGATACGTGAACGTGTAAAAAACGTTGGACGCTACAGGAGCTAGAATTCAAATTCTTTGCAAGTTAACATTCGAAAAATCAAATTACATCTTCATACATCTTTTTTATAAAAGAAGTTATAAACTAGAAAAATGACATGCGTAATCGGGTTACACAACATTTACACACGAGGTAATCGGGTTGATGCACATCTTCACAGTCAGCTGAGTTTCAATTGAAATGTTAAAATTACAATTTGGTCTCCAAAAACGCTAAATTTCGTTTAAAAACTCGTCCATGCGAACGATGATAAGCAATTAAAGAATAGTTTGGCGAGCACTTTATACATCGACAAGGTTATGTTTGCCTGACTTTGTAGCAAAACAAATTAAAAAGTTATAAAAGTAGGTTGCGGAAAACAGGTTTCGGGGGTCATCGGTGCCCATTAAACTGTTGGCCATTAAGTTTTACAATTGATACTGTTTAATTGAAAGGTGAAAATATGGTCAGAGGGCGGTATGTGTTAAACCGTTGAAATTAATACTCTAGTCTCCTTGAAGAAAAAAAGAGTTCTTCTATCTGCAAATAAATGCGATTTGATTTTTCTTCAAACAGTAAAATGCAAACGTGAGCATATTCAAATCTTTAATTCATACACATTATATCATCATCATCATCATCATCATCATCATCATCATCATCATCATCATCATCATTATCATCATGATCATCATCAACATCAACACAATCATCGTCATTATCATCATCATCATCACATCATCATCATCATCATCATCACTGTCATCATCATCATCCTCAACAACAACAAAAACAACAAAATCATCATCATCAACAACAACAAGAGCATTATAATCATCTTCATGGTCACCATCATCATCATCATCATCATCAACAATCATCATCAACAACAACAACATCGTCATCATGATCATCATCAACAACAACAACAACACTATTATGATGATGATCATCATCACCACCAATATTTATTATTATTTTATCATCATGTTGAAATGACACCAGCAGTGATAAGTTCCACGAAGCAGATACAAGACTATATACCTTAGTAGTTCAAATAGGCTGTAATCTTTCTTTACAATTTGAGCTTGAATACTAATCAGTATTAAATATTTATCATCATGCATGCAAATTATTATCCAATTACTCATTGACATTAAAGAATGCAGCAACAATACCATGTTCATCATTTTTGTATTTGTCCAGGATATTGTTTGTCAAAAATGTTTTGTTTTTGGACGTTCCCTAAAAAGTATTTATACGCGTAAAGGTTGACCCTATAGGAGTGTATGTAAGCCACAGTTGCTCTTATACATGTAAACCATTACAGAATCCGTCACGCATTTCAAATCACATATAACGTGCATGCATAATGATTTTTGTTGAAAATTTAAATTTATATACATTTATTTACACGGTAGAAACAGGTGTTTCAGAATTCATTTTCGAAATGAAATGGATAAAAGAATCGATAATACAAATTGTTAATAAAACATGCATATGTATATTATCATAATTTAGCCTGAAAGTGTCCTTGTTAATTGACACCCTTTAATAAAGGGCACAAATGAACTTAATCGAACTATCGATGAAATCATGTTATTTATTGGTAAAGAGCAACTATCCTTCACGTGTGTTTAAGTGTTTTTAAGTGGTAAAACTTCAAACGTTTTTGTTTTGTTTTATTTTGCCTTAAAGGTTACACCAAAATGTTTAAAAAGTTCGCACATAGGTAAATGTCTTAATTTCAGGAGAGATCTATTTATATATATGTAGATCTGATTGTTTGCTATTCATATGCAATAATTATTTTCAAACAACCGGTTTTATGATTTGAATATTGTAAACATGTTTCGTCTTTTGTAATAATTTTCAATAAAGTTATTGTTTTAGATGAAATATCTTTATGACAAATTGTAAATCCTCTAAATATTGTTATTTGTCGACAAACATTAACATTTAAACTTTACAGACGAGTATTTCTTTTCGTTCAATGCAATAATACCATACAGTACTAATCGTCTGTTTGAAATACAAATGTTTTAATAAATAAATAATTAAATAAATAAAATTAAATAAACATACGTACCCATATACCGACAGAGATAACTGCCACAAAATATCCAAGAATCACTAAAATGTCTCCCCAATGTAACTCGTTTCGTTGAATAGCCATATTTGCTTTAAAACTTTAAGTGAAAATAAACAACCGCCATGCAGGTAAGGCCATATACAGCTGTCTACCTTTAATGATTCACCTTCGTTCCACTTCGTTGATTACATTCGGTATACCTTTAAAGGTAGTTGATTTAGGGCATGTAATAGATAACAGTTCAAATAAACCATCTTCATTATGAACTGGCGTAGTAAACATGTTTGAAATTACATTATTTTTTTCTCACTTCAAAGTGCGTGCATTTGCACTTTTGTTTAAAAACAAGATTTATATGTTATTTATAAGTGCATTGTAAATTTTATGTTTTTTATTTGCTTAAAATGGATTTTGACTTGAATATATATAAAGATTTTGACTTGAATATATATAAAAATAACATTATCTATATTTAAAACATTGTAAACGGAGAAATATGTTTCTAAAGGTGGGCTCAGGGCTGTCTATGATCAGTAAAAAACGATGCTGTTAAAAATCATAAAAATGTACCTAAATTCAGAAAGAAAATATTCTTGAGCGGGCGACGCATACGTAAAGTCAATGTCATCAAATCAACTAAAAAACGCAGTTATGTTTTGTAAGGGTGTTGTTTTGTTGCCTTGTCTATCATTAATGTGTGTTAGAACATCAGCGACACTTTAAGTCGGGATTACCTACCCCTGTTACTTTCGTTACGTAAGAATAGTAGGCAGGGGACCAGACAGCGACACTTTCAGCTAAAACATTCTCTATTTACGACCAAAATATAAGAAAAAGCCCGACTGTAGCTTTAATATACACTCATCCTTTAAACATGTTTAGTAGCGATAAAATCATTTAACATCTGTATATATAGGATAAGACAACTCTGTTGGCACATCTGTGTGATAAATTATCTATGTTCGTAGATAAAGTAAGAATACATTCTGATTTATCTATATGGTCTACACGTTAATGATTTTGTATTGTTCATTTGCTATGTTGTTTAGTTGTTATACTGTTTAGTTAAGTTGTTACGTTGTTATGTTGTTTAGTTTTTATGTTGTTTAGTTGTTTAGTTAAGTTGTTATGTTGATAATGAGTTGTTAAGTTGTTTAGTTGTTATGTTGTTTAGTTAAGTTGTTAATTTTTTTAGTTTAGTTTTTATGTTGTTTAGTTTAATTTTTATGTGTTTAGTTTTTAGCTTGTTTTTATGTTGTTATGGGTTTAATTTCTATGTTGTTTAGTTTATTGTTTAGTTCTAATGTTGTTTAGTTTTTATGTATACTTGGTAACGATATACATGTACCTACAAAGAACAGTTAAATAGAGAAAGCATTCCATTGTATAGTCCACATTTGTCCTTTTTTTTTTCTCAGTGGCCTGTCTATTAAACGTTTTTTCATGATAATCAATCAGTAATTACCAATGGCTCTACCTAAATGTCACTCGGTGGTCCATTTTTATACCTCTTAAACCCAGTCACCAAATACATCCCTTTGATACTCTACAGTTAAATGGAGATTGGCATTCATTTTTTTTCACACAGAACAGTGTATATTATATAAAAAGAACCTTGTACATTATTATCGGATTGGCATGGTTCAATTACCAACTTTTGGCTAAAAAATAACTTGTCTTGCTAACACTCTTTTGTGATTTCGTACCACTTTTTTAATTTCTTTCTAAAGGGTATAACTTGTGATATATGCATATGAACAATACTCGATGTACCCTTAAAAGACAAATGGACTCGTATTGGAAATAAAATATGAACTTACTGACGGAACGCGAACAATATTTTATACTCTTAATCTTCCAGTCCACATATCGCCTTAATACTTAGATTCCCAGGTAGATAAATGTTATCATGAATAAACACGTATGTTTATACTAATTAATATCAAGCTTTGATAACATGACATCAAGCGATTCGTCCTCTATCCGCGCCATGTCCTTTTACACCCACTTTATACCCGTTTAATACGAACACCTGAGACATTCTCTTCCTGGTCGGTTATCTCGTGTGTTAACATTTAAGGACACGACTTTAGGGTCACCCGGGTTAATCAAACAACGCATAATTCAGCATTCATTTACCGACTTCATTTATTTGGTTACGAAGTTAGTTCACTTTAGTTATGTCTTTCTTGCATGTCACATATCACAAAATTAATGGCACACTATATCTCAGATTCTTTAAAAAAATCTTTCTTTAGAAAAGGCAAACGTGTGTTTAATAATGTTGTAATAATGATGATGCTTATCAGAAAATAGCGATGAATGAGAAACGATTTTTTATAAAGGTAAAAAAAAATGTAAACGAAGTGGAATTTTAACCCTCATACAAAATAAAATACTGAATTACTATAACTGTACTAATTGCAAAAACGAGATGACTTAGATTTGTACCAGATAAACTTTAACAGGTTACCAAAAATGAAATAAAAATGAAAACTTTTCAGAAATAACAATTTAGAACTTTTAAGGCTGAAGGACTTTAATACATTGCAGAAGTCTAAGAAATAGTGATAGATGTAGTATTTAAGTTTCATCCGTGTACATTCTCTTAATTTAGCTATGCAGCATAGCTCAATATGTTAATGTGCTCGACATTGTGGGTTCGATTTCTGGGCTGGGCAACTAAAATTACTAATCATTCTTTCGGATGAGACTGTCAATCGACGTCCCGTGTATGAGTGCTTACACTTTTAGCACGCTATTTTAAAATAAAAATATGGAATGTTCATTTCTATAACTTTCTTTAAAACATCACACTTTCATTCGATAGGCTTTATATAAGAAAAACAACACGCTTTTTGGGTCAAAATATATTTAGTTGTTTAACAAGCCACACAGTAAATGCCAAAGTAAGATGATGTTATTTTTCAAATATTTTTTTTTTTGAAAAATGAAATCAACAATATTGTCAAAAGAGTCTTTATCTAAGAAATGCACACACGTTTTCCCTGGTCTCTTTTAGGTCGGAATATTTTGTCGCACTTTCCATGAGCCCTTTAGAATACTGACCATCCTCAAACACCATTGCTTCCGGGGCGTCAAGGGCATGTGCCTACAATTTACAAAAAACAAAGAGTTTTGGTAATACTTCGCCCGTACAGTAATCAATGTTAAAACTGATAACGATTCGCATAAGTTAAAGTAACAATATGCCCCACCATTGTAAATAAATGGTGAATGTACTGATTAAAGTAAAAATAACTTTTAATTTTTCCATACATGTTTTCATTTTTATATTTTACTTCACGTGTATAATCAAGAACCCATGTGACCCAAAGAAAGGCTAAGATATATTCTTTGAAATGTTCCGGTAATGCTCAATATATAAAAAAACGAGTGGCTCTGTCCTTTTATGTTTTAAGCATCTTTCAAATCTTCAGAATTTAAATTTATTGGTTTTATTTTATAATTATCAATCTTTTGGAATACATGGTTTATTCGGCTCACCTTGACATTGAAAAGAATAAGATCAACGTCATTTTATAAGTGACGTGTAGCATCAAAATTGTAATAATCATAAAGGCTCCATTTTTTTAGATCATTTATTTTAACAAAATTATATGAGTATCTATGAATTTGCTAGAAAATTGGTCAGTTTTCCAAAATACTTCTTTTGTTATGTTGAATTGTTGAATTAAGAGTTAGCATATTCAGTATAACAAGGACATATCATTTTGACTATGTAACTAGCTGTAAAAGGGCTGTGCCGTTTGGATAGCCGATAAGGTGAATTGTTATATTAATTACTTGTAAAAATGTCTGACAAGTTATAGGGTACAGAATAAATGATTGTACATAATGCTTATATAATCTATAACCATAGCCGCTAGTTGAGGGTTATATTGCAAACAACCGTTAATATACGACAATATAACTTGTAAGACATGTTTATAAAGAATTTATAATACACTATAATTTTTATGTATCAGCGAAAAGGGAAATATCTTTAAAAGTTTAAATAATATAAACGTCGCAATTATCCAATGAGAAACGACGTTACAAAAGTGCAGTATTATGAAATTAAAACTACTTTAAAAATGGCATGTACAGGATTTGTGGTTAATATATTTGATAAGTATTTCTTATCAAACTTTATCATGATATTTTGACAGCAACGTTTTACTATATAAACAAATAAACAAATCTGGCAATTAAGTATTTGATAAATCTTTCAATCGAAACATAAACCTCGCAGTTTATCATTTGTGAATAATTTATTTCCATATGTAGCTGACCAACTTTAAACCTTATCAGTCCTTTCGATTTAAGTTATAGGAAGAAACAAAGATCAATATATTTGTACCATGTTTGTGGTTTTTTGAAAATGAAAAAAATCAACCCATCTAAATCTAAACTTCTAAACATAATAAAATATCTTTGATCAAAATTGCAAATATGTTGAGAGTAATTTTACTTTTTACAAAAAGTCCATATATGCTGAAAAGCTTTAAAAATATAGTTTAAACTTACTGGTTTTGCAAAATAATTTACTCATATTTTGTGTTGCTATTTTATGGAGCGGATGTTGGATTCGTGACTAAAGTGGCGTCATTAATGACGTTATAATTGTTTTCCTACCAGAAATCAATATATCCTGACTTTCTTTGTATTTATAATAATACCAAATAATTCAAATTTAATGACAAAAATTTAATCATAACATGTAATTGGTAATTCCCGTCTAAATACGCATATTTCTCGTTATTTTGATCATTAAATGTTTCTTCCTTTATACAGGTGTGTCAAATATTTCAGTTCTTGTCCCTCCCCATTCCATGTTATTAAGGACAATTTAAAATATTTGAGGATATCAAGGTTGTTTACTACATTGTTTACATTTATAAAGCGCAGTAATTGTGCATAACGTGATTTTACGTTATTTGACGGGAATTGACGGACACGGGCGGAAACTGACGTAAATGAAATATAAAACATACTTTGATAAAGTTTACGACAATGTTGACATCCTCCTCCTGCGTGGGTCTGAACAATCCAATAAGAAGCCCATGTTCGTAGGTCAGTAAAGCGTACGGCTGAAGATAATAATACAATAGATAAATATTAATAAAATATAGACCCATATGCTATTTTATCTAGAATTATAACTATCAAATAACATGTGTTTCTTTCTTACTTTAGATTATCAAGGTGTACTGTAATGTATTTTTTCTTTTTGTATTCAAACGACATGGGTATAAATAAACGATATGTTTGTACTTGTGTGACTGTGCCTAAATAAACAACTTATTTTGACACGAGTTTTTGTTAGATATATTAAATTTCATGAACTTGCATAGGTAACAAAGCAGCTAAATACAATTACACGAAAGTTTAACATTCTAAATGCACTGTTAGGATATATAAATAGAAGTTAATAAAGAAGTTATAGATAGTTAAAGTTAATAATATGGACGATGTCTATGGCTATACTCGGTATAGATCCACAGCAACCTTTGGACGGGGGAGGGGCATGGGGTGGGGGTCCATACTGTCTGACAATAATCTATACCAATGTCAGTTATCATAGCATTCTATTTCACTCTTTTTATGTTGATAATGGACTTTTCCGAATCAATTTTTACAACATAAGTCATGAGTATATATATGATTTTCGTTTCTCATCGTAAAAAGTTTAAAAAAGGTGTTTTCGATGTATTTTATTGAATTTGGAAATCGAACTTGATTTTCGATGATTATTTAGAAACACCAATGAAAGAAATACATAACGGTTTGTGCCATAAAAGAGGAGATTTTATTATTTATCTTAAAGATTTCAACAGACTTAAAGTACGTTTATATAGAATCATTTATTGCATGCAAATTATAAATTTCGTGAAATCCTTCAGTTAATTTGAAAAATTCAGAAATGCAATGTTGCGGCTCAAAATGCAACCGTACCTCGTAATATATCAGGTCGGGGAGGGGTATTATTTATACATTAAAATAAATTTGAACTAAGAGCTGGGATGAAAATGAACTGTTGACTGCTAAAAAATCAACTTTTGAATGTTTTCAACTTGGATCTTCAAGCTGACTCAAAATTTAACTTTAGCATAATATTCATTTTCTGTATACATTGTACTTTGACATGGTATCTTTGAGCAGCGTATACTCGAGACTTTGGATTCTTTCATGTGACCAAGCTATTCAGCAAGCTTACGGAACGCCGTTGGTTCTGCTCAGGTGCCGGTTCGGGCCTGAGATAATGCACGGACTGGCACCTGGGGTATTCCTCCACAAATTAACCTGGAAAGTCTTCACGTGACCTATACTGTGTTGGTGCGACGTACAAATCAACAACAACAACAACAAATTTACTCGAAGCTGCTAAGCCTTTAGATCATCCAGTTTGGTTTGTCCGAAGTTCTTTCAGAATCCAATTCTTATTTTACATTAACATTATGTCGTTAGATCCTAGATGTCCGATCTTCCTTGTTGTTACCGATCTGCAGTAAATATCTTTTGAATGCTTTGGATTATCTGTATTTAACTTTAATCCTTTGTGATATTGGCTGTCAAACCATGTTGCAAGCCCTCATATCAGTTTTTAAAGTTTGGTTTAGATTAATGTACCTTAATAATGTAGTCATTCAGGGAGTGATCATTGCAAACATACCCATTGATAAATTGAGCACGAACACAGTTGTTGTCTATTAATTCATATAATACACGTTACAAAAGGATTTGTTATAAAGTGAAACGGCAAGGTTGTTTCCTATACAGATAATGAATATGTAAATAAAGACATTATCAAAAAACACACTTTTTTTAGATAAATTGTCCTTAAATTGTGTATGTTTCTATATATAGGGTATTCATTTATTCATATTGATGTTTTTTGTCAAACTAAAACTGTAAAGGCTATACGGCGACCTTCCTGTTCTTCGAAATTTAAGAAAATCTTAGATGCCAATTTCCTGCATCATTTTTAGGCATGAGCGGGAACTTGGGTAGGATCATCAATCTTTCGTGAATAAGCACGATAGCTACCTCAAATAAAAGATTCTAACACTATCGGAAATGTTTCTATATAAACAAAGAAGGCCCGAAGCGTGCATTATTCTGCAACAATGCACTCGCCGTTCTTATTATCTCCCTGTGTATTTTCACATTGAGGGCGCCATTTTGTTTGAAAAATCTGATAAATGAAACAATTTTTTGTCGAATTTTGTTGTGAAAACTATCTAGAATGTTAGAAAATGGTCTAACTAAGAAAATAAATCCGAACACCAATATCTTTAATTCAGTCGTTAACGCTGTACAGACGTTTAAAGTGTTGTTTACGTGACGTCACAATGTAGCGCCAAACAGCACGTGCAAAACAATCAAAATCAAGTACGCTATTTTAACGTCGCAGACGAGTTAAGTTTTACATTAATTTTATTTCACTTTTAATAATTTGTATTTCGCTTGGAAAATTATAGACTGAAATAAAATAAACAAACAAAGTTTTATCAACGTTTTCAAAATTCGTTATTCTCAAAATGTTTCTACACACGGTAGATTTAACGACAGTTTTTTTTCAACCCACTGGAACGGCCTTTAAAGAACGTTTCTATTGGAAACTCTGAGGCGAAAACAAATTTAACCGCCAAACATAAAGTCCAACTTTATAATATTAATTATACTTTTTCTTGACGTGTTAGAATGGAAATAGATATTAATTCTTCGTGCATTATTGTATAATAATGCACGTTTTTCGTTCAAATGCTTTGTAATTAATCACTCAGGCCTATCGGCCTTCGTGATTATATTACTACGCATTTGAACTCAAACCGTGCATTATTCTACAACAATGCACTCAGAATTGATATCTATTTCCTAAATAAAAAGACCTGAAAGTATACGAACATGTGAAAACAGAAAGATACAACAAATTAAATTTCGACTTTGTAGTACCTTAATGTTTCGTATTTCCGCTTTTTTTTTTCGCTACACTATGGCGTAAGTCAGCCACCATAATATTCGATGTGTGTGTAGCTGCATAAAACATGGCAATTATGCGAACAGTTTGCGAAAAAATCATGAAATAATCTTAAGATAATAAATTGTCAATCTCACCATGTTTCGGGTTATATGTCTGTATGGTGTAATGATATGCTTTCCAAGGCAGTCTCGAACCAATGACCTCAATGCCGCAAGTTCCGGCTTGTCTGCCATGCATGGGTGATACAGCAATACGACCGCACCATGCTTTAATGGGAAAACAAACAAAACAATAATAAAAAGAAAACAGTTAACATAATATTGTGTTGCACTGTTATATGGCATATATTACTTATTTACTTTATTTCGCGTACATGTACATACAACACTTTCATCCGAAAAAGAATCCAAAGATGTATTATGTTGCATGTACAAGATTTGTTTATTGATATAAATTCAATTAATAAAATGATATACGTCTGATGTATTCTCCCCTACTTTCATTACCAAACGATCACAATAAGGCTCTTTTTGTGGGGAATGCTTGATTAGTTTTTTTTCTCAGCATGACTAAAATGTTTCGTTGTCTGTCTTATTACTTTCTCCAAAAGTTTTATACTAAACTAAGACTCCATAAACACTAATAATCTAATATATATGTAAGTCTACCTCTAAAGAATGAACCCATCTTTGCGGCGGAAGGTATTTATATTCTCCAAACATTGGCCACAATGGACGATGGCTTCCACTGAAATGAAAACAACAACAATTTTACCAGTCTAACATTTTGAATATAGAGGAAATAAATAAACCAAGGATAAAGATATCATTATACATGCAAAGAAGCAAGAGAACGAATGTGAAAACTTCTTTGTAAAATTGCAATTCTTCCAAGTGAGATTTTTTTCGTTAAAATTTCAAACGCTCAGAAAAAAGCCTAAAAACATTGAATATGAATTTCTTCCATAGATTGGCTAGAACAATTCAAACTGAAAGAATATGCAAAAGATAACCTTGAAAAATACTGAGAAATAAATTCTTTGCACGATTTTATTGAGAAAAAAAAAGCGTTGCAACGCTTTTCAATTTTTGGTCATTTTTCACAATTAGAATAATCATTCTTGAAAAACCGAGTGATGATATGAAATATGATATTTTTCACACACGTTATTTTTCTAAACCTACATCAAATGAAATATTAATATTGAAAAAATATTTCCAGTCCCGTCATTCCAACAAACCTCAGGGGAGTTTTTAATGTGAGTTGGCCTATAATGGAATGTCTGTATTACAATGAATAACAATGTTAGATGTATTTAGATCCAGACATTACAATAAACCACGAAATAATTATTAAGGAAGTTGTTGCGAAGTGTGAGATACATGATACATATATTTGTAAAGCAGATAATAAAATGTTCTAGAACAAAAATATAATACTATTCATCATAAAATGATTATTTAAACTACTTAAGAACTTTATTAACATTTTTTTTCATGCAACTTTTTATAACAATATCTAAATGATACATTTTTTACTGTCTAATCAATATCTGAAGAAAAAAAAAAGAAAATTGTGCCCATTTTTAAAAG